AAAATATATAAGAAACCATTATTTTTTATAGTCTTTATGTTCCCGTGTTAATTTTCAATTTCTAATGTTAAACACAATTAATGATATCAAACACTTTTCAGTTCATTTAACATTTAACTTAGCGGTGCGATATTAAATTTAATGTATGCCCAAATGGCTTTTTTACAACTTTTTCCAGCCTATGAGTACTAAAAGGGCCTTTTTTTCAAGTTCTTCGTGAGCCCACCAGAGGTAGAGTTGATAAAACCATTGAACACTGGTTCGTGTCTTACCAACGGGAATTTTCTAGGTTTCCTTTGTGTGTCTAACACCTGAATAGACAGTTTCACACCTTGGCAGATCGCCCAGGTGTTACATTGCCGTATCTCATCAAACCAACTACATCGTGGGTTCGGCTGGAGTTGTGAGGGATGGGCCCGACATATCCGGGACAGAGCACCTGCCAAAAAACTCCTGTGGAGTTGCTCGTCCGGATTCGATGCCGGGCCCCCAGAGTGGTAGGTTGAAGCTTTAACAGCATCGATGTCCGCCATATTTAATTGGCAGACATTTAGGCACATATATGAGTACGATCTAAATCGATATAATCTTTATTTAATAAATAACAAGACATCAAAGGCAATTACGGTAAAAATTATCTCGTATATTGCATTAAATCTAAAATTTCCTTTTAACTTAATAATTTAACTGTTTAAACCTAATTAATATAATTTAACGGATTAAAATTCACTTTTCTAATCGATTTCTTCATTAATTAACTAAATGTAATTAAATATTTCCGTATATAGATTAACAATATATTCGTTTCTTACTTAAATCATTTCTAAACTCGAATCTCGATGCAAGTTACATGAAATTCTAGAAATTAATGTAAAACCCGATGATATATAGGAAAAGAATTTGCTGAATTTTTTTAAAAAGCTGGAAAAGTAATAAAATAATTAATCAAATTAAATCGGAATGTCAAAATTTCGAATAAGTTTCATTAGGCAAGAATATTCTTCGATTGTAAATTAAATTTTTAACCATCTGCTGCTGTAAAGTTATAGCGAGATCATCGATCTTGAAGCTGAAAAAAATTACACATCGTGACTCTTAATTCCAATTTCAGATTACGCGTAGCCTTTTGTTTCTTCGAGAATTTCTTCTTATTATTATTTTTTTAATATAATTTAATCCATTGACAGAGTTAACGAATATGATAGGTTATAAAAGAAATTCCAGTAAATTTTCCATTAATTTAAATATCTTCTTCACAAAAGGCAACTCCAGCCAACTGGAGCAATAATAATGAGACAGAATGTGGAATATTAAAGCGTAACTTAGCTGCATCAACTAAAAACGTCATTTACTGACTTAATTTTTGGGAGCAAAATTCTAATTTTGCACGGAATTTCTTCTAATAAAACTTGTTAATAAGATAGTTGATGACACGCAAAGATAATAATCGTATCACTCACCGTATTGTTCTAAATTATATTACTCGATGGATACTGCATCTCCCCACTTCCAATTCAATATCCACATTTCATCATTTTGTATAGAATGAATGACGTACGGGACAATAACTATTATAAATTACATACTAACTCTGATTATTATTAGCAAATTCTGTATTGGAAATTTCGTGAATGAAGAATCTGTAGGCTGAAGAATACAGTAAATTACGTGTAGAGTTAATTGCATACCTCAGATTTTAAAATTGTTTTATACTGTAATTAAATTCAAGCTTTAACTAAAATAAAAATTGTAAAAAACAAGAGATAAATAATATAGTTTAATATATAAACCGTAATTAAGTAAAATAATCTGAACACTTGAGTAAAGGAAACATATACCTCTGAACGGGTCACCAGTGGCCAAGCGGTCTTCGTACCCTAAACACTGGGAGTTTGGTCGTGAGTTCGCGCCTCACTCGGACGGGCTGGCCACAATGGAGTTTTCCGGGCTTCTCCACGTCTATAACGCCTAAATAGGGGTGAGTTTCGCGGAAGGCATCCCCCTAGGTAGATCGCCCAAGTGTTGTGTTGTCATAACTTAACAAACAACAACAACTGAACCTCTGAACAGTGGTAATTAATTGGTCGCTGTTCCCGCGCCTCTCCAACGGGCTACATAAAGTTTTCCGTGTTTTTTCACGTTTCTAACACCTAAATAGGGACCAGTTTTCCATAGAAAGTCCTGGGAGGCATTGACAGATCATTCATATGTTGCCTTGTCTTATCCCATCAACAGGGTCGTCGAGAGGAGTGAGCTGGGAATTTTTTCCTGGGCCCGGAGAAAACTTAGGGTTCATAGCGGTTCCTACCATTATAAAATTAATGTTATTTTTACTAACAAAAAACAGAATCTTTAAGGCTGCTTTTTTTATTAATAAATAAACATTCTACGTATTTCATTTGCTCAAAGGACTAAAAGGTCCCGCTCTACCCCAGGCCCCAATAAACTCTCGCGATCCTGTCCATCAATTCTTATTTCTGTATAGTAAAATAGCAAAATTTTAAGGACTAGAACAAAAACTGACAGAAGATAAGTTATGATTATTGTTTTCTTAACGATATTTTGCCAAATAAATTGAAGATCAATGAAGATTCATTTACTTTTGCCTATTTATACATTTCATCTAATCATTTTAGGACAATCAAATTTCCGACTTAATTTTCATTTAAATCATGCGTAATATCTCACATATAAACTTAGAGATAATGTATATTTACAGTAATAGTTTACCTAATTTTCTATCGTCTCATAAAAGTATCGAATTTAAGCTACTTACAATTTATTCGGTATATAAACGAGATACAAACCAAGCTACAAAGTTTAGATAATTATTGAATGTAAAACAAAATCTAAATTTACAAAAAATACCCATAAAAATTACATATAAAGCAAGAAACGGATGCAAATAAGTATACAGAGTTTATTACGGGTCTGTAGCTTAGGGTCTCACATTTTGATGTGTGCCATTATTTAATGGATGAAAAGGGCCCGTTATATGTTATAGCTTAGAGCAGTGTTTTTAGATCTTTCTAATATCAGCACTCCAATTTGGTAATTTTTTCTTGCGACACCCTACTTTATCAATGTAGAGTTATTGCTATGGTGTAGTTTTAGTGATACACATATGAAGTGTTATGGTGTTGCTCACATATATCAGACTGCGAAATATATCGGCACAGTGTTTCCCAGTCGAAGTATCGTTGCAGCACCCAAGTTGAAAACCACTACTTTGGAGCAATAACAAATCTAAGCCCAGTCCTGAAAATATGCGAAACGTCATAATGGAAAAAATGAACATAACACTTCAGAGATATGAAAATAGTTGTTAATTACCTCATTCAATTTTTTCAAATGGCAATTTTTCAGATTAAACATTTAATTATGTATAAGATATATAGCCTATATATATATTGATATATTCAAACTTGATATAGGCCTATGTATATATATCAAGTTTGAATTAAATCTTCGTAATAATACGTCTTACCAACTGTTACTAACGTTGAGGTCAATAATTACTTCAGAACCAATTCTTGCCATCTCATCAACGCCGAGTAAATGTGAAGCAATTAATTAAAACAAAGATCAAATGTTCAAGTTAGATTTCAAGTATTCGCAGAATAATCGGTTGCTGGTCTGACGATCGATTTAAGATAGTTGAGGTAATTAGTTCGGGAAAATAAAATTTCAGTCATTAAGACAAAGAAAGTAGCTAGCGTGACCCCAAACAAAAGCAAATGAGAAGATTGTGTGCTATGCAATTTCCTTCTAATTGCATTTTAATAAAATTTTAATAGCATATTTTAGAATAGGATAGGTTTGATGGAACAAGGCAACGCAACACTTGAACGATCGGCCAAGGAGGATGCCTACCGGGAGAACTTTCAATGGGAAACTGGCCCTATTCAGGTGTTAGACACTTGAAGAAAATATGGAAAATCCCACATGGCCAGCCCGTTGATCGGGGGGCGAACCGCAGCCAGTTGTTGTCAGTTCAGTGGTTTTTATCTACCGGGCACCAGTGGGCAATATTTTAGAATAGTATACGCATATTTAAAATATTCGGTATTCGGTTAGTAGCTAACCGAATTTCAAAATTATAACCGATTAAATAATGCCACAGATATAGAATTGCATTGTCTTGTGTTTCCATAAATCGTTGCTCGCATCGTCGTCCCATCCGTTACGCAATGTAAACTTTCGAGAAATGAGTTCTGTCAATACGTCACGTGTCTGACAATTCCCGATGCTATCGAACATGTCACACGTCACCGATCATCCCTTCTCTAGTCAAAATGCTGTTGGACTAATGGACTTCATCTCCGGAGAGTCTCCGTAACGTTAAAGAACTGTTGTTTGTTTTTACGTCTTTCAAGAAGCAAGTGTATGAAAAATAATTAAAGAAATTTCCTAAAAACTTAATCGGTTAAAATAATTTATCTTGGATTATTCAAATGATTACAGATTATAATTGCAGTCGTAAAGAATTAATGGAAAGGAATTTTTTCACTTTTTTTGGGGGTAAGATTCGTTTAATCTCTTGAGTTCTATTAACAAAAGTGGCTCCTTTTTTTTTTAATTAAATGTAGCAGTTTTAATATAGAAAAAGGTCAGAAAGCACAGATTTGTGTGTTTAATTGCAGGTTAACGAGCAAAAAAGAGAATCGAACACGCCGCTTTTTAATCTTCTTTCTAAAGTTATTAAACGAAATTTGTTAGCTGATTGTAATAAAAGAAAGCGTTAAATTAATTGCGATAAATGCGAACGATATTGTTTTTTAAACTTAAAATCTGTACATAAGAAATCCGGAAAAGGGGAAAAGAAACGTTCCTTTTTTTACACCCACCTCATTAAGTAACCTTTGTGTGTTAAGGTTATAAAATTACACGACCGAATGAAGTCTTTATTTATTTTATTTCCTTTTTTAAATGAAAATGCGAATAAAGAAATCCGTCTTAATCCCGATTTAGATATTAACTTAATTAGGAAAAAAATAGGAAAAAAGATAAAGGAAATGCTTCATCATCTGTTTAATTATAAAAAGATTTTTTTGACATTTTTTTATCACCAGATAACGATTTCATTTTCAACATTTTTTTTCTTTTTTTCTTTGTTTTTTCTTCATAGTGAACACGATGCAGGCTAAGCAACGAAGTAACAAGACAGAAGATATATATTTTTTATATATATTATATATATATAAAACTTGTGTCCAACGCGGTAAGGCTTTTTGATCAGGACACGCCCGTTAACGTGACAAACTCTTTTTTTAAAATCCTATATAACTGTAACACTCCCCATCGATTCCCATAGGATACTCGTTCACATAACGACGCAATGTCTGGCTTTTTCTCTCAGCTCGTCCTTTAAGTCGATTTTGCTCATGCAATTCACTTTTAAATACGGTCTGGTCACGTGGTTCTTGTTTAATTTACCAAGAGCCGCCAAAGCAGCCACTTCGAATGCATCTCGAACGCTTCTGCTGCAAGACTTGGAAGATGTTTCTACGTAAGTGGTGGCTCCGATCTGTCTAGACACCGCCAGAGCCTGTAAGAAATTAGAATATTGATTCAAATTTTTATATAGCTTAACTCTATGAATATAAAGGGGGGGAGGAGAAAAAAAGCGAGTATAAAGAAAAGGGTGGATCGATATCGAGTAAAATGAATTTATCGCTTTTGGTGGTTTCACAGTTCGTTTCAGCCCACCGAGTGAAACTAATGGAGGAAACTAAATATCTGATATTATTTTAATCGATTAAATGTTTCCCCTCATTCAAATTGATAAGATTTTATATTATTTTCCGAGATTCTTTAACAACACTGATGAAGATCCAACCTTGATCCATCGTGCTGTTTGTGTAAAGAATTCTTTTTTGTGTGGAACTTTGAGATTAGAGATGAAAGGAAAGTGGTAAAAACAAGATAGTCTTTTCAATCCCAGGATGGTGCGGTGTCATTTAGTGTAGAGTGACATTGAATGATAGCATTTTGTAGCCTGTCTGCTTACTGTCTGTCACACTCAATCGTTTGATTACTTTCTTCGATCCCATCAATGTGTTGGATGTCTAAGAAAATCGCGAAATGCGAGCATTTTAACTGATTAAAAAAAAGAAAAGAAAATCTTACCAAAATTCGAATATATTCGTAACCAACCTGTTCAGAAGTTACCGGCGATTTTTTGCCTTTTCCGAGGTCGCATAGAGTTTCCCTATCCGTCCTCAGATCGCTCTGGCAACCACAAAGAATGATGGGAACATTTGGCGAATGCTGACGCACTTCCGGGCACCACTAAAACAAAAACAGAAAAGGAAAAAAAAATGAAGCTAAAGCGGAAACGAACAATAATCAAAATGGCTTTAGTTCCGTCCACCGACTTAATCTAGTTGACCGTCAGCTATCAACTGGCTCTTTTATGACTAGAAACTGCAGAATTTTTACGACTATTTTTCTTATCACCTTAGCAACACTGTTAATAGCGACAATGAAGATGTTTTCTTCTAAAGAATAACAATTGGACAACTCTTTTATTCCACTACACAAAAAATTTTCACCCTCACTTTACTACTAAATAAAAAAAATTTTTTAAATAATAATATATACAAATTGTATTAATAAATGATCTGCTGGATTTTTATTGGAATATATTATGGCTAATTAATAATCACATACAAATAAATTCGGTAATAGGTAGCCTACCTCTAGCCAAATTGCTTTGTATCTGATTATTAATTAACCATAATATGACCCAATAAAAACCCAGCAGATTTAGTAAATAAGCATAAATAAAAATTTAACGGTTATAAATCATATATTTTAAAATATAAATATTTCTAATTTTAACAGTTTTTTAAATTATTTAGTAACGATTTTTAAAAGAAATCATATTCAGAGAAGCAAATTAAATGCCATTTATACACGAAAAACAAAGATAAAAATCGCAAATTTAACTAAATTTAAAATATATATATATATATATATATTAATAATAAACATTTAAGAATTATAAAATTAATAATTTCTGCTCGAATGAATCCCACTTAAAAATTAAATTAAATTATTTAAAAAGCTTCCTTCGTAACTATGCACCCGCATTTGATTTATTTGGTTCTTTAACGTAAAAAGAATCGATCAATATATTTTTACTTCTTGTCCTGAAGGAATATTTCAAATTAAAGTTCGTTGAACATCTTTACATTCTAACAGATTTATATTATTACCGTATAATCCTATACGTTTCATAGAAATACAGATTTAAATCTTGCTTTTACGCATTGTTGGGTGGAAGCGGAAAATTATGGTGTAGAAGTAAAGGAGACAAACATCGCTTCCTTGATTGTTTATTGAATACTCGAGTACTAAATAATATAATTAGACTAAAAGTGATAAATTTTATCGATTCGATTACAGGAAAAAAATATAATTAATATAAATATCAGCCCAGCTGATTGCCTGTTTGATATTTTAATTAGTCTAACTGCTTAATTACCTTTCTGTCGCGAACGTTGTACTAAAATTCTTGTAATGTCTGAATTTTAATGACAAAATAAATATTTCTATACATTTAAAATGAAATTAGATTTTTACTGTATATAAATTATTCACAATTAAATTAAATATTTTATAAGGCTAGAAACTATAAGTGAAAAATTCAAAAGCAAAAACTAAGTGAAAATTCGTTTTGGAGTTTCATAAAACTGATGTGATTTTAAGAGTTTTATTTAATCTTTTTGATTGTAGATAATCTTTTTGTAAGTTAAAAATTGAGGAGAAGAATGAAAAAAATTGACTTAAAAGACGAATAAAAATAGAAATAATTTTATGAAATAAATTGAAAAGTTTGGATATGTTGAATTGCTCAATTCTTTGTAGTTTTTCTTTTTCTTTCAATGAATCACCGACGAGTACACTTTGATGTTACTGTAAAGAACATAAAATTAAGGTGACTAATTATCAAAATATATATTTAATTCTGTCATATTTACTTAAATTTTTATCATTTTTCTTGTTTCCTAGAGTAAAAATTTTTCCGAACAAACATCAAAGATTTATCACGGATACAAATCGACGTTGGTATCAAGAAAATTCTTTGGAGGAGAAAAATGAATTACCTATTGTTACGGTATGAGAAACATCATTTATCACAGTCTTCTCCTAGTTAAAACATTGACACAATTTAAATGAAGCATTCCCACATCACCATCTTTCAAAATATGCAAATTATGGGATTCGACATAAAAATGCAAATTTGTTTATTGATCATAATAATAACTACATTATTTTCAAACAAAAGACTAAAGAAGAGGGGATAAAATAATCTACTTACTTACCTTGTTAACTGTATTATCTAGAGAATTTGAATGACAAATGTGGAAACACAGAAGAAACACTTTAGCATCTTGATATGACAATGGACGTACTGTATCGTACGCGGAGGCACCTACAAACAAATAATCATTTTCAGCTTTGCCCGGTAATATCAAAAGAATATTCGTTCACGTTTAGTCTCTTTTCTTCTCGTTTATAATACTTTTTTTGCAGATCGCAGATAATCATCGATTTAGAACGAACATACTTTTAAACTTCATAATTTCGATTTTCGAGTAACAAAGAGAAAAATCACTCGACTGTATCCTATAGAACATTTAACAAAACACAAAGAAATGAGTTCGCTGTGTATTATTTGGCACTGGTTGAACACTTGCCAAAACGACTTTGTTATGCTTCTCTAGACATTTTATTAAACTTTTTTTTAAAAAAACATAAACTTGATATTAAAAAATTTTAACAACTGAAAATTCATTCGACAGAAGATACGACCAGTTAAGTTCTCGATAGTATTTTGAAATTTTTCCTTTACTTTTTAAAAATTTCATTTAATTTTAGGTTAGAATAATAACAATATTGTATGGAGCTAAATTAAATTTGAACATATCCATTAAATTTTGAAAAATGCTCTTGAAACATTCCTCTGTTCTAAATGAATAAGCGCGGTAATTTTGATCTTTTTAAGATAAGGTGTGAAATCATAGGATGTATGGGAAGATGAGGATAAGGTGTAAAATTATATTAACAATATATATAATTTTCTCTTTTCGGCTATAATATTTACATTAAAAATTCGCTTAAACAACGTTGATTTCTCTCCTTTATTATTGGCTAACACACACGCACACATTTTATTAAAATAGCAGAAAGATCGGAATTAATTATGGAAATGCCGAATTATTTTTATTTTTGCTCATAAGACAATTTCATAAATTATACAAGATATAGAATATAATTTTTCACAATTGATTCGATGAATTTCTAAACAAATAGACTTACCAGAATACTTGAAAATATTTACTTTAAAAAAATCAAATTTTTGTAGTTTACTTGAAAATATTTTCAAATGTTTGTATTAAAATATGAAAAGAAATCCAAAGAGAATTTTTCGAAGTCTGCAATTTGTTCAAATGTCGAAGGTCATTTCGAAATATTATATTTTCAAATATTATTTATTTATAGAACATAAAATAAAGCTCATATTTAAGAAATTTTGTTTTAAACGTATTCATAATATCACGATTTAAAAAATCAACTATAGCTTTTCTTCCGTAATATTTCTTGTGGGTATTACTACAATAGAGAAACTTGCTTAACATGTATAATACCTTATGGAGAGCACAGGAGAAGGGTGCATTGTTATCATCCGCAACTGTTCCATTAATAACGTTTCCCATGATCCTCGTTCTGATATATTGACTATAGATAACGAGTTTTCTGCATTCTCTTGTACGCGTTATAGAAACTTGTTGCTCTCTGCAATTTATCAGGAATTTCATTAAACATCTGCAGATAAATTAAGAATTCTTTTCTCCTTAATGGAATCTTAAGTAGGATCGTCTTTATTCGTCAGCACGTACGATTGTACGCAATTTAAGCTCGGTACGAAGTTAAAAACACTTGTCATAACATAATTTTAAGTAATTAAAATTGTAATTATACCAAATGATCGTGTCTACTTTTTAATCTACCGATAAATAATTGAAGTAAACTACTAGTAACTTATTATATACTACAGTATAATCATACTATGTAAAACCACTGAACACTGTTAGTTGGTCGAAGATCCACGCTTCACCAACGGGTTTTCTGGATTTTTTGTTCACCTGTCTAACACCTGAATAGGGACATGTTTTCCCATTGTTTAGTTTGGTGGGATACGGAAACGCAACACATAGACGAACTGCGAAGAGGGATGCCTCCCGGGAGACTTTCTATGGAAAACTGATTCCTATTCGGGTATTCTATCAAGAAAATCCAGAAAAATTCACGCGACCAGTTGGCGAGGCGCGAACCCGCGACCAAATACCAGTGTTCACAGTTTTCTCATAAAAAATCCTCCCGGAAGATATTCCCCCTTGGCAAATCGCCCACGAGTTGCATTGCCTTATCCCATTAATCCTACAATCCTGCTCACAATATACATTGAATATCCTTGTCCTATACATAAATAATAGTTTAAAAAAACGAGTTCAAGCTGTGAAATAACTTACTTAAATTACCAACAGGCTAAGTGAATCGTCAAGAAAAGATAATTGCACGATTTAGAATCGAGGAAGAATGGCATGTTAAGAAAGAAAGAAATCAAGGTATGTCGACTGGATGGAGGATATTATTAAATAATTAAATGAATATTATTTCATTTAATTTTAGGTTAGAATAATAACAATATTGTATGGAGCTAAATTAAATTTGAACATATCCATTAAATTTTGAAAAATGCTCTTGAAACATTCCTCTGTTCTAAATGAATAAGCGCGGTAATTTTGATCTTTTTAAGATAAGGTGTGAAATCATAGGATGTATGGGAAGATGAGGATAAGGTGTAAAATTATATTAACAATATATATAATTTTCTCTTTTCGGCTATAATATTTACATTAAAAATTCGCTTAAACAACGTTGATTTCTCTCCTTTATTATTGGCTAACACACACGCACACATTTTATTAAAATAGCAGAAAGATCGGAATTAATTAAGGAAATGCCGAATTATTTTTATTTTTGCTCATAAGACAATTTCATAAATTATACAAGATATAGAATATAATTTTTCACAATTGATTCGATGAATTTCTAAACAAATAGACTTACCAGAATACTTGAAAATATTTACTTTAAAAAAATCAAATTTTTGTAGTTTACTTGAAAATATTTTCAAATGTTTGTATTAAAATATGAAAAGAAATCCAAAGAGAATTTTTCGAAGTCTGCAATTTGTTCAAATGTCGAAGGTCATTTCGAAATATTATATTTTCAAATATTATTTATTTATAGAACATAAAATAAAGCTCATATTTAAGAAATTTTGTTTTAAACGTATTCATAATATCACGATTTAAAAAATCAACTATAGCTTTTCTTCCGTAATATTTCTTGTGGGTATTACTACAATAGAGAAACTTGCTTAACATGTATAATACCTTATGGAGAGCACAGGAGAAGGGTGCATTGTTATCATCCGCAACTGTTCCATTAATAACGTTTCCCATGATCCTCGTTCTGATATATTGACTATAGATAACGAGTTTTCTGCATTCTCTTGTACGCGTTATAGAAACTTGTTGCTCTCTGCAATTTATCAGGAATTTCATTAAACATCTGCAGATAAATTAAGAATTCTTTTCTCCTTAATGGAATCTTAAGTAGGATCGTCTTTATTCGTCAGCACGTACGATTGTACGCAATTTAAGCTCGGTACGAAGTTAAAAACACTTGTCATAACATAATTTTAAGTAATTAAAATTGTAATTATACCAAATGATCGTGTCTACTTTTTAATCTACCGATAAATAATTGAAGTAAACTACTAGTAACTTATTATATACTACAGTATAATCATACTATGTAAAACCACTGAACACTGTTAGTTGGTCGAAGATCCACGCTTCACCAACGGGTTTTCTGGATTTTTTGTTCACCTGTCTAACACCTGAATAGGGACATGTTTTCCCATTGTTTAGTTTGGTGGGATACGGAAACGCAACACATAGACGAACTGCGAAGAGGGATGCCTCCCGGGAGACTTTCTATGGAAAACTGATTCCTATTCGGGTATTCTATCAAGAAAATCCAGAAAACTTCACGCGACCAGTTGGCGAGGCGCGAACCCGCGACCAAATACCAGTGTTCACAGTTTTCTCATAAAAAATCCTCCCGGAAGATATTCCCCCTTGGCAAATCGCCCACGAGTTGCATTGCCTTATCCCATTAATCCTACAATCCTGCTCACAATATACATTGAATATCCTTGTCCTATACATAAATAATAGTTTAAAAAAACGAGTTCAAGCTGTGAAATAACTTACTTAAATTACCAACAGGCTAAGTGAATCGTCAAGAAAAGATAATTGCACGATTTAGAATCGAGGAAGAATGGCATGTTAAGAAAGAAAGAAATCAAGGTATGTCGACTGGATGGAGGATATTATTAAATAATTAAATGAATATTTTAATATCAAATAAATAATTACAACTGATATAAACATACGAAGAGATTAAACACGAAAATTAATTGAGCATAATTAAAAAGATACATTAAGACACGATAAATTAATAATTTTGACGAATATTCAAATATATATTCTAGTAAAATATTTTAGTTTAAATGTATTTGATTCCTGGCATTTTGATATATTTATTTCTTTATAATAAAAATTACGAAAAATTTCCAAGTCATTGAATAAATTCGAAAGCATTTAACATTTTTAAAATATTTTTAAATGTTAAATTTATATAACCCATATAGGAAAAAATTGATGAATATTTATATTTAGTTACAATTTATTTATTCTTATTTAAATGAGTATAAGTTTATAAAAAATAGAGCGAGAGATATTTAATTTCTTTTTAAGCTATTTATTAATTAAATAATAAATTTCAATATTTACTTTTTTATTCTATGTATGTGTTTATATATACAGTATATAGTGGGGGAATATGTGAGGGAATAGTGAACCAAAAAGTGGTTCTTCCCACCCTGTGGGCGTAAGAGAGCTTTTTGATTATAATTAAAAAGTCCTTTTCGATGATTATAATTAAAAGACCACAATGGCCTGACCCATAATGGAGTGTCGAAATGGCAGTAGTGTTGAGGGCTGTATGGAGTAGAGTGAACTCCTTTCGCCATTTTTTTCAGCTGTAATTTTTAAATTGCAGAACTATAAATTCCCACTGGCGTTCGTCTGTCAGTCTGTCTATCTAACTGACTGTCTGTCGTCCATCCTTAATCTTGAGAACAGAGTTAGATAAAAGTCGAGACCCGATATGGAAAGCTTAGGGCAGATCAGGGACCCCGATTAACTATATATAAACTTATAGTTTGGAACGGAAGTCACGTTATTTCAATTCAAAAATTTTCTCCAGAACGGAGTTAGATAGATGATCGATATG